TGGGGCCAGGCGCGGTGGTGCGTGCACCTGTAATCTCTGCAGCTCGGGAGGCTGAGGCAGGAGGATAGCAAGTCCAAAGCCAGCCTCAGCAATGGTGAGACACTAAGCAATTCAGTGAGACCCTGTCTCTAAATAATATACAAAATTAGGTTAGGGATATGGCTTAGTGGTTGAGTGCCCCTGAGTTCCTGGTGTGTGGCGAGGAGGGACTGGGGATGTGGCTCAGTAGCAAAGTGCCCCTGGGTTCAATCCCTAGTAGTGGAGGGAGTTGGGGGTGAGAATTATTCTAGGAAATGGGTATTACCTCTTCTTTTGCTAGGTTGTTGGTATGGAAGTTTGAGTCAATTAGGAGAAGAGCTGTTTGGGGTTTGTTGTTGCTATGGTTACCTTAGGTAACTTTATCTTCAAATTCCTCTGGAATTTCCTTGCATTCAGGGCTCAAAGGGCAGGCTTTTCTCAGTGTTTCTGCTTGACTCTTGCCTTAGCTTTTCTCAGGACCCATCACTACCACACTCTGAGTTATACCTGACTGTTTCTTGTTCCTGGATGTTTTCTAACCTGGTGGTGGTAAGTTTTCTGTTTTCTTGGTTCAGCCTCAGTCTTAGGGGATATTTTTCTTGAATCTTGGGGGTAGATCTTTCTGGGCGATTCTGCCCTCCCCCCCAAGAAGTAGGATACTTGTAATGGTCTTGGTCGGAATTTCCTGCTCCTCTCCCAGTCATAGAGGGTTCTCTTGGTACCCTGCCCCAGTTACCTTGGGAGTGACAGAGTTTGCTGTCCTTTCTCTGTGGGGCCAAATTGGCTTTATATTGTTCCTTTTCCAGGCCAGCACTACTGAGGGGGCGGGGGGAGACTCTGCCCAGTGTTTCTTTCTTTTTCTGGTGGTGCTGGGGATTGAACCTATGGCTTTGTGCATGTGAGGCAAGCACTTTACCAACTGAGCTATATCCACAGCCCAGTATTTCTTTCTTTTTTTTTTTTTAAATATATTTTTATATTTGTTCTAATTAGTTATACATAACAGTAGAATGCATTTTGACATATCATACATAACTTCTCATTCATCTGATTGTACATGATGTAGAGTTACACAGGTCAAGTAATCATATATGCACATAGAGTAATAAAGTCCGATTCATTTTACTATCATTGCTACCCTCATGCCCTCTCCCCTCTCTTCACTCACTACTTCTGTCTAGTCCAAAATACCTCTTTGGGCTGGGGTTGTGGCAGCAGTATAATGCTCACTAGCACATGCGAGGTCCTGGATTCTATACTCAGCACCACATAAAAATAAATAAATAAAATAAAGGTATTGTGTCCAACTACAACTAAAAAATAAATATTAAAAAAACCTCTATTCTCCCCCAATCCATTGTGAATTAGCATGCACATATCAGAGAAAACATTCAGCCTTTGGTTCTTTGGGATTGGCTTATTTCACTTAGCATAATATTCTCCAGTTCCACCCATTTACTGGAAAGTGCCATAATTTCATTCTTCTTTAAGTCTGAGTAATATTCCATTGTGTATATATTCCAGTTTCTTTATCCATTCATCTGTTGAAGTCCTGCCCAGTATTTCATGTGAGCACCTACTGAGGCCTGTAGAGAAAAACCTCTAAATGGGTGGCTCTTGATAACCCATATTTGACCTTTAGTAACTCATTGAAAAAGTTCTTGAATTCTTCTTGCCCACCTATATGGTGGTCCCATCATTTTCCCACTAAGTGGAGCTTATATTTCTCTCTTGTTGGAAGTGGTTGTCTTTCCTTCAGTTTTACTCTAGTTAGTTGCCCTGTAACCTCAGCTTTCTTATGGTTTAAGAAAATTATGGTTTTATAGATTATCTGGATTTTTCTTGTCACTGAAGTGGGAATAATAATTTGTTTCTAAGAGGAAGTTAATAGTCAAGAACTTCCTATTTTATGCTAGATTTTTTTCTTCCAGTGAAATAACCTTATGTCACTTCTTCCCTCTTTTCCTTGCTTCTAGAAGTTATCTTTCAGCAATATTAACTCAGCTAAGAAAGCTTCACATTTTACTGAAGAGTTTCATATTGCCTAACTTGATGCTTACAAAAGGTCAGTGAAGCTGTTAGGGAAGAAGAGCTGGAAAAGAGAAGGGTGAGATACATCTGGTAAGCTGTGGTCTCTGACTACAGGACCTTCTCACTTCCATGCTACCATACTGCCTGATTTTGTATTGAGGGCATGGTCCCTAACAATCTTTTTCATATTATAGGCACTTATTTTATTTTTTGCAGTACTGGGGCTAGAACCCAGGGCCTCATACATGCTAGGCAAGTTCTCTACAACTCATCTACATCCCACCTATATCCCACGTGCTTAGATTTTGTGGAGGCATGTGAAGTGAGATGTAGATAGAGAAGGCAGGGGAGGGATGGCCTTGGAGTTGTGTGGCCAAGCCATCCTGGGATTTAGCCATCTGTTCTTGGGGAGCTTGCTGGAGTTACATCACAAGTCTGCTCTTGGGTGTTTAACAAAGAGAAGGAACTTTAATTACTTTTGTCCAAGGACATGTGCTTAGGGTCAATCACATTTTGTTATTGAAAGAAGAGAAAGAAACCTCAACTACACTCAGTTGTCTATGAGTGTGACTCTCCTTGGCTGAAGGAGGAGTTCTTAAATTCCAGCAGAAATCTTGTCCCTTATTCAGCTGCTGGGACTGAGATGCTAGGAAACAGCTTGTGGAGCTGTGACTGTACTCTCCCTTTTAAATAAACTACTGGATAGTTTCACTGGCATGTCAGACCTACTTAATAAAGCCACATCAGAGCTGGGTACAGTGGTACTTGTCTATAATCCTAGGTACTCAGGAGGCTGAAGTAGGAGGATCAGAAGTTTGAGGTCAGCCTGCACAACTCAGTGAGACCCTATCTCAAAATAAAGAATAGAAGGGGCTGGGTGGTAGAACATCCCTGGGTACAGTCCCTTGCTGAATAAAAAAATAAAATAGTCACATCAGATGCACCATTGTCATACTGTACAAGTACAAAAGGAAGATCTGGTAGCCCGAGCTTCCTACCTCCAACTGGGATCTGATGGAATAGAAGTTGGAGCGGTCACTGGGACCAGGCATCTTTGCTCTTCATCTCTGTGCTGAATACGGTAGAAAAGTAACCTAGGTCTCTGGGCACCTGACTCTCATGTGAGAATATGGGTTCTCAGCTGTTTATTGGATTTGTTCCCATGGATGCCTGGACTCACCTGACAAACATGTGAAAACAAATCTGTTCCCACATGCCTGCATAGGGAAACCTGCATGGCTTGGTGTCAGAGGTGAAAAATAAAAGTGGTGCTGCCTGAAAGCCCTGCCCCATCTAAGCAGAGATAGGCTGGCTCATCTCTGGGACGGGGGAAGGCTTCTGGTGCCCCAGAGAAACTTTTTCACTCAGGCTCATGTCCAGACTCTGTAACGGGATTGGGACAGGTAAGGCAGGAACATCGGGTGGGATCTGTGGAGATCAAAATTTTCCCTGACAGGTGTGTGTGTGTGTGTGTGTGTGTGTGTACACGCCCCCCCCCCAGACAGATTCTCACCAAGTTGCTGAGGCTGGCCTTGAACTTGTGATCCTCCTGCTTTAGCCTCCTGAGTAGCTGGGATTACAGGTGTGTGCTACTGTGCCTTTCCTCACTCTTGAGTGACTGTGATTCCCTTGCTCTGAGCTTAGTGAGGCCAGGATATGTCATATACATCTTTGTTGAGTGGTGTGGAGGCTTCTGGAAAAATGATGTGCTGATTGCCTTCTTATCCCTGGAAGTTATCCCTTTGACCTCAATAGACTGACTCCTGGATGGGAATCAAATAGCCCACCAGATTCCTTTTTCTAAAAAGTGAGGTAATTTCAGGGGATTTGAAGCATGGCCCACACAGAAATTTAGGGAGGACGAAGTCTACACCAAGCACAGGGTAAGGAAGGTAGTTGTCTTCCTCTGACAGATTCTGGGTCCTTTGTAGGTAGTATAATGTGAATCCAACTTCCTTAAGGTTTCTGGATTAGCCCAACTCTAATCCAAAGGTGGTACTGTATGTACCATCTCTCTATGGGATGCTTTCCAATGCCAGATCTGTCACTAAGAGAAGCCTATAGCTTTTGTTGGATGTCAAGACTCCAGGATAATGTTCTGGGAAAATCTTAGAATTTCAGCCCCAGGTAAAAGTGAGGGGTGTATTGAGGAAAGCAAATAGACAAATGTTTAACCCTAGTTTATGGTGCTCCTTGGAGATCCTTCCTCCATTTTTGTCTTGTTGTATAATCACTTTCTTTTGGGTACTTTGGAAAAAGAAAGGTATTGAATGGGCAAGCAGCAATGTGGGGAATAAGATGAGTGAACACGGGTATGTATTTCCACACATGTTCTCTTCTTGGTCCAGTCCCTGCAAAAGTGATATACTCTTGTCTAAGGATCTTTTTAATCCTTCTCTGTACTGCTCATGTTCTTTGCTATCCTGAGAGTAGCTATAGATCTCTCTGTGTGAGGCTGGACACTGTGAAAACTCTTCTTGTCCTTTATATGAGAGCTGAGTAGGCAGCTTGGTAGGCAGCTTGTATACTTGGTGTATACAATGAGAGGCCTTTCAGGCTAGAGAAGGCTATGTACATGCTGCAGGGGCTTTGATCTTCTCTGCATGGTAGGTTTGTGTGTTTTAAGCTGGTAAGAAAAGAGCAAAACCAACACTCAGGGAGAATGAATTCAGTGGACAAACCCAGTGCCTACCCACAGGTCTCTTGTTGGAAACCACCATCAAATCATGCCTGTATTCTCATGGGTATCTTTCTCAGGAGCAATAGAAATCTGCCTATCTCCATTTTCCTGTGTCCTATTGTGGGAACTGAGAAATATATTGTATTTTGTGTGTAGCATACTGTCTGTCCCTAAGCAGGAAGTGGGCAGGGAAATTTGTCTGACTCGCAGGTCTAAACCAGAACCTCACCAACTCCTGCCAAAGATTTGACATACTTGTTTTCTTTACCAGGCTAGTGTAAACACAGTTGTGCGGGAACCATTTGCCATGGAAGCCAGAGAGATTGTGAACCCTGTACCCAGCTACCATCTCATCCCTGAGGCCAGCCAGCCCAGGGTGGAAGAAGATGTCAGCTTGCCACCTCAAGTTCCCTCAGAAGCCATGCAGCTGAAGAAGGAGATCTCTCTGCTGAATGGGGTCAGCCTGGTGGTGGGCAACATGATTGGCTCAGGGATCTTCGTCTCACCCAAGGGGGTGCTGGTATACACTGCCTCCTATGGATTGTCACTGGTCGTGTGGGCCATTGGTGGGCTCTTCTCTGTTGTGGGCGCCCTTTGCTATGCAGAACTGGGGACCACCATCACCAAGTCAGGGGCCAGCTATGCTTATATTCTAGAGGCCTTTGGGGGCTTTATTGCCTTCATTCGCCTATGGGCCTCACTGCTAATCATTGAGCCCACCAGTCAGGCCATCATCGCCATCACCTTCGCCAGCTACATCATCCAGCCCTCCTTCCCCACCTGTGATCCCCCGTACCTGGCCTGCCGTCTTCTTGCTGCTGCTTGCATATGTAAGTATGGGGGCTGAATGTGAGAGGATATGTGTGTGGGGGGGTGCTGTAATAATGGTATGGGTGCCTTATATTTAAATAGCATAATTTGCTGGGTATAATGGTGTAAAACTGTAATTCCAGGAGGCTGAGGCAGGGGGGGTCACAAGTTCAAGGCCAGGGTAATTTAGTGAGACCCTATCTCAAAATAAAAAATAAAAAGGGCTGGGATATAGCTCAGTGTTAGAGTGCCCTTGGGTTCAATCCCTAGTAATGCAGGGAAAGGTGGGGGGAAAAGAAAGCATAGTTTGCTTTTTGGGGAAGAGGTAGATACCTTACCTTTGGAAGGACTAATTGCATCAGAGTTGATTGATCCTGAGAGATATTAGAGCCTCACATTCTTCTTACTCTTGGCTGTTTCTGAGGTCTTTCCTCTACTCTCTGTGACAGGTTACTACATGTCTTATATTTATCTTGTCTGGTGCTCTTTTTTTTTTTGGTCAGTTTCAAGAGATTGGTTTCAACATCAACTAGTTGAAACTTAACACAGAAAACAATTAAAAAGTCAGTGTTGAGTCCTTTATTGTGCTGCTCAAAAAGAAAAAGTGTTATTTTACTTCTCAGCTTTTCATCTTAAACTAGTTTAAAGGCATCAGTGAGGAAATAGGCTTCTCTAGACTGCGGGGTCCCAAGGTCTTATTCCTAAGCCCACAGGACCCCCTTCTTCCTGCTACTGCCACTCTTTGAGGTCCATTCCAAGCAGCAAGTACCACACCAAAATGGCTTTTTCTTATTGGTGTTTCATTTTTCTGTATACTGACTTTGTAAACAAGCTTTGCCTGCAGCTCATGAGAAAAAAGGAGCTTCTACCCTACATTAAGGATGAGAGCCCCATGCATGCTTTTTTATTTTTTTGCATTTTCTTTTCTCTCTTATGTGAGAGGGATTCTTATGGAAAGAGGGATTCTGTGTGAAGCCCTTGAAAGGAGAGAAGATTGTTATACAACCTTGCAGAGCTAGAGCTTCAGTTAGCCCAGAATTCTCTGTGTTCCATAGCACTGTGCTGCCAAAGGCACTTAATTATACCCTGTTCTTTCCTTATCTCTGCTTATAAAAGCTTTGGCTATATATAGTTTGTCTACAATATTAAAAATAGACTGAGAGTACCTTGGAACTAGCAATATGGATTGTATAGTACACCATGCCTCCTGACTTTAAGGACTTTGTTAAAGCAAACAGTGAGGAGAAAACATACTCCTGGGAGGAGAAAGGATGATTAGTATTCACCTATGTGTCTAATAGACTTTGGTCCTGAAGATTCTGGCATGACTCATCTCTAAAAAAAGGGAGTAAGTGTATGATTCTAAACATGGTCATTAAGGAGAGAATTAAATTATCCTCAAATTACCCATAATCTCTCACTAACAGATGAGTACTTTTAATAATTTAATATTGTCTTCATTTTTTTTATAGAATTGGGATCAGACTTTGCTTATTAATTTATATTCTGGTTTTTAAATTAATTAATTGCCTTTTACCCCTGAACTACAGCTCTCCCTACTCCCCCAGCCTGCATTTTTTTTTTTTTTTTTTGAGACAGGTTCTTGCTGAGTTGCCCAAGCTGGCCTCAGCCCTCCTGTGAGTCATGGAATTTCACTGGAATTAGTGGTGTATGCATGCAACTGCACCTGGCTATATTCTGGTTTTTAAGCTTAATATATAATTTTCCCTTTATTTCATAAAAACAACATTAAAAAAATTTTAAATTATGGTTTCTTTGTTGATTCATAAGTTATTTTTTAAATTTTTAAATTATTTATTTGTTTTTATGTGGTGCTGAGGATCAAACCCAGTGCCTTGTGCGTGCGTGCTAAGCGAGTGCTCTACTGCTAAGCCCCAGCCCCAGCCCCCCAAACAACATTTTTTAAAAATATATTTTTTTAGGGCTGGGATTGTGGCTCAGCGGTGGAGCGCTCACCTAACATGGGCGGGACCCGGGTTCGATCCTCAGCACCACATAAAAATAAAAGGGCATTGTGTTGTGTCCATCTACACCTAAAAAATAAATTAATTAATTTAAAAAAATATTTTTTTAGATGTAGACGTAAATATCTTTATTTTATTTCTTTATATGTGGTGCTGAGTATCAAATCCAGTGCCTCATGCATGCGAGGCAAGCGCTTTACCCCTGAGCTACAACCCCAGCCCAAAAGTAACATTTTTTAAAGTAGTGTTTTTTTAATTAAAAGATAATAAATGGACTTTATAGACAAGTTGGCAGATAAAGAATAGTATAAAAAAATTAAAATCATTCATGATTTTACCTCCCAGAAAACTATTGTTATTATGAGTGAAATACCTTCCAATATTTTTTTCTATATATATATATATTTTTTTTAATTTTTTAGACGTTGATGGACCTTTATTTTATTCATTTATTTATATGTGGTGCTGAGAATTGAAACCAGTGCCTCACACATGCTGGGCAAGTGCTCAACCACTGAGCCACAACCCCAGCCCCATCTTATATAAAATTTATCATTTTTAAAATGATCCTGCTGAGCATGGTGGTACACACCTATAATCCCAGCTACTCAGGACACTGAGGCAGCAGAATCATAAATTTGAGGCCCATAGTGACTTAATGAGGCCCTAAACAACTTAGTGAGACCCTGTCTCAAAATTAAAAAATAAAAAGGCTGGGCATGGTGGCACATGCCTATAATCCCAGCGGCTGGGGAGGCTGAGACAGGAGAATCATGAGTTCAAGGCCAGCCTCAGCAATGGTGAGGCATTAAGCAACTCAGTGAGACCCTATCTCTAAATAAAATACAAAATAGGGCTGGGATGTGGCTCGGTGGTTGAATATCCCTGAGTTCATTTCCCGGTACCAAAAAAATAAAAATAAAAAAACAAAAAATAAAACGACTGGGGATGTGGCTCAGTGATAAAGCACCTCTGGTTTAATCTCCCAAAAATAACTTAAAAAATCAAAATAAAAAATCATACTCTTTGTGTCTTATATACTGTTTTTCCCCACATACTTTTTTATTAGTGCATTATAGTTGTACATATTGAGGGGATTTATTGTTACATATTCATACATGCACACCATATAAGTAGGACAGCATTTCCCTGTCCTACTTCCCACCCCTTAGTCCCTTTCCTCTACTGATTTCGCTTTTTTAAAAAATATTTCTTTTAGTTATAGGTGGACACAATGCCTTTATTTTTATTTATTTATTTTCCTGTGGTGCTGGGGATTGAATCCCAGTGCCTTACCTGTGCTAGGTGAGCACTCTACCTGAGCCACAACCCCAACCCTTGATTTTTTTTTAAATATATATATGTTTTTAAATTGTAGTTGGACACAATACCTTTATTTTATTTATTTATTTTTATGTGGTGCTAAGGATTGAACCAGCACCTTGCATGTGCTACTGCTAGATGAGTGCTCTAGCTCTACTGATGAGCCACAGCTATAGCCCTCACTTTGATTTTTAGAAGATCCACCCCCACCTTTGTTTTCCTTTTTCCTCTCTAGCTTCCTCATATGAGAGAAGGCATACCACCTGAGTTTGACTTATTTTGCTTAATGGGATGGTCTCTAGTTCTATCCACTTTTCTCAAATGCCATATCATTTTTCTTTTTAGCTGAATAAAAGTCCATTGGGTATATAGCCACATTTTCTTTATCCATTCATCCACCAATGGACACCTAGGCTGGTACCATAGTTTGGTTATGGTATTGTGCTGTTATAAACATGGGTATGCTTGTATTGATGTATTACGTTGACTATAATTCTTTCGGATAAATACTGAGAAGTGGTATAACTTGGTCAGATGGTGGTTCCATGCCTAGTCTTTTGAGGAACCTCCACACTGATTTCCATAGTGGTTGTACTAACTTGTAGTCCCACCAGTAGTGTAAAGGTGTTCTTTTTTTCTCCACATCCTCTTCAGCATTTGTTATTTGTATTCTTGTTGACTGCCATTCTAGTTGGAGTGAGATGAAATCTCATTGTAGTTTTGATTTGCATTTCCCTAATTGCTAATGATTCTGAACATTTTTTCATGTATTTGATGGCCATTTGTATTTCTTCTTTTGAATACTCTGTTTAATTCATTTGTCTATATTAATTGGATTATTTGACTTTTTTTGGTGTAAAGTTTTTTGAATTCTTTATATGTTCTAGACATTAATACTGTCTGAAGAGTAGGTAACATAGATTTTCTCCAATTCTATAGGTTCCTTCTTCATAGTCCTGTTTCTTTTGTTATGCAGAAAAGATTTTTAATTTGATTCTGTCCCATTTATTAACTCTTGGCATTATTTCCTGAGCTTTATCGGTTCTTATACTGGTTTTTAAATTTTAGCATCTAATCTCTTTTATCAAATATTCTTAGAAAACATGATTTGGGGACATAGGTGTGATTTCCAGGCGGTGTAGTATAATGATTAAACTCAGAGGGCCCAAAGCTGGACTGGGTTTGATTTCTAGCTTTACCACTGATTTAGGGAATTAATTATCTCCTGCCTTGGTTTTCTCATTTGGAAATGAGATTATTAATAGTGCCTAGCTGAAAAGATTGTTGTGAAGAATAAAAGACAAATAGCTGTGTAAATGCTTTTCTCTTCCTGACATATAGTAAGAGCTCCATAGTAAATAATGCTGTAAATAATTATGTCTTTGTACATAAATCATTTTAGAGTTCCTGAATATTTTCTTAGGATTAAATTAAACAAGGGAAATCATTGTGTCTAAGGAAATAAACTGTTGCAGGATTCTTTTTAGAGTGTTGTATGAGTTCCTCAATTGATTGGGCATCTGAAAGTGCCTGTGCATTAGTGGCTGATAGCTTTAGAGTAAATTCAAAGAACAACCAAGTCAAAGGGCATGTTATATATAATTTTTGATACCCAGAAGATTTTTATCTTAATTTTTGTTTGTTAAATTATATTTTCTTCCCTTTATTATTTTTCCCATGTTTTTTTTTACTTAAAAGCCTATCCTCATACT